CGCCTCTCCCCCCTCTGCCCGTCTCTCCCGCTCAGCCTGTCTCTCCCCCTCAGCCCACCTCTCCCCCCTCAGCCCGTCTCTCGCTCAGCTCAGAGGGCAGTGGAGTCTCAGACGTCTGGTACTGAGCAGCTCAATGCCCATCCTCACTCACGTCGCAGTGTCAATGGTCAAGCATGAGCTGGGCAGCCTCCCCTTCCTGTCCACCCTCTGCAGCCTCCCAGGGTGGGCTTTATCCCAGACCCACCTCTAGTCCCGATCCCTGCTCTGTCACCTCGTTTTGTGCCTCCTTCACTCACCATCCCACACATTCCCCACTCATCCATCCCCTTGGTCTCACTCATCCACTCACTTTCTCACCACTTGCTCCCTCGCCCCCTCACCCCCTCACACATCGTCCACTCATTCACTCACCCTCATTACCATACACTTCCTCATTCATTCACTCATTCATTCATTCACTTGTCCTCTCATTCACTCTCCCCCTCACTCACTGCTCACTTGTTAGTTTACTCACCCATTCAGTCACTCCCTAAGTGATTCATTTACTCTTCCACTCATTCATTCACTCAATCACAAGTTGGCTGTGTCTGTCTGTCTGTCTGTCTGTCTCTGTGTCTCTCTCTCTGTCTCCTCACTCCTTTTCCCTCACCCTCTCTCTCACGTGCTCACTGTCTCTCTCTCTTTCATTCGTGTTTTGTTACCATTCATTAAAACACCCCTGAGTGTCAGCGTGACCCAGCACAACTTCAGGATGGAGGGGGCAGTGAGCAAGGACAGGGAGATCCCTGGAGAAGGGGTCTCTGCAGAGTACAGTCAGGGAGGACTTCCTGGAGAAGGGGACATCTGAAGCCCAAAGAGGCCGCAGAAGGCACTAGAGGCCCCAGGCAGGCTCATGTCAGGGAGAAGACAGTGGGCCATGGGAGGGAAAGGGCCACGTCAGGGTACTGATGATGCTCTTGCTGCCAGGGAAGCCAGCCGGGGACACGTGTGGCACGTTGGGCCAATGGAGGGGCTCCAAGAACTCAGACACTCCCATGATGGGCTGGGAGGCCTGGCCAGCATGTCCCCAGCACATCCAGCCCTGCTGTGTGAGGACAGATGTGGACATCCTGGAACGGCGCCCTTCTTGTCCTAAAATGCCAGCCCCTCTGACAGAGCCAGTCAGGATTTTGGGGTGACACTGCCCTGAGGTCCTGGGCAGCTGGTAGCCTGGAGGTTGGTGCTGTGTGTTTGGGGATATGTGCCCTAGGCCTCCCTCCCAGCCAACCTGTGCTCTGGGCTCGCTGGTTCCTGCCTCTCTTGGGAGACCCGGTTACTCACTATTACTCATCAGCCACTCCCGTGAGGGCTGGGTTTGTTTGTGAGCCAAGCCCTCTCCCCTCTGGTCTCTTGTCCCAGCAAAGAGAAGGTGAGGCTTGGGGGCGGGGATGGAGGTCTCCTAGTCCCCACCACACCCACTTCTCCACGGCAGATGGGCCCACACATATAGGCTGGGAACCAACTTGGTGGGCTTCCCAAAACCCCAATCCCAGCAGAGGGGGACTCAGAAGGTCATGGTCTCCCCACAAGCCCACAGGGCCTGCAGAGGGTCAGGCCAATGCGTGCATACCCCTTGTCTGCTAGACCCCATGGACTGGCCTCTGGTGACAGTGAGGGCTGGCTGGACAGAAGTCTCACTGTCACAGTTTCTCGATTCTCAACCCTTGTTCTGTTCGCACAATAGCCTCTTCGTTTCTCACGAGCACAGTCAAGTCCTCTGGGATTCCCATTCTTCTCAGTTAGCCATAGTTTGTTATGATTCACAGTCAAATGCCTTTGTACAGTATAAAGCACAGACAGGCGTCCTTCTGCTATTCCGCTCTGCACCATGGTGGCCCCCCGGCTGCTGGGAGGGTTTCCAGTACACTGGCCTGCCCCCTCTGCCCTCTCCACCACTCCTCTAGATGTCCAGGGGGGATGCCTGGCCCACCTGTGGGAGGGGTAGCGCCCCCAGCCCTGGTGCAGGGAGAACCCCTGGTCCCTGTGCAGGGCCTTGGCAGGCATCAGCCTCTCTTCGCCTCAGGCATCTGCCCACACCCCAAATTCCTGCACCTTTTCAGGCTCCCGGTTGCAGTCTCAGTTCCGGAAAGCTCTGTGGGGTGCTCTGTGGAACTATGGGGTGCAGGGCCAGGGTCCTGGCTCATTATGTCCTATACCCCAATACTGTTCTCGAAATTCCCCACACCTGGCAGGGCTAGTCCTGTGCCGGAGCGATCCTGGGCAGACCCTGGGTTAGCTCGTCTCAAATCAGAAAGCTAAGCCCTAGGATAGGTGCCCAGGCTGATGGCAGCCGATCGTTTCTCCTTTCTCCCCAGAGAGGCTGGTGGGTTTGAACTGCTGACTTTTTAGTTAGTAGCTGGGTGCTTAAACCACGGTACTGGCAGAGCTCCTGAAACGGAGGCCAACTGCTTCAAACTGAGGTAGACCAGTCCTCACGCTGTGCTGGGGGCAGGCCTGCCCCACTCACTGGGGTTCAAACACGTGACCCTCCATGCCCAGGAAGTTGTGTGCACCGCCCATGGGCCTGCATGTGTGCACTGGGCACACCTGTACTCACACCTGCCCGTGAGTGTGGGCACCTGTGTGTACCGCCCTGGAGACCAGCGCGCCCTCCTGCCCTCCTCTCCTAAAAAGGACAACATTCCTCACAGCTCAAGAAGAAAAAGCAGAAGAGAAGCTCATGGGAAAAAAAAGAGGGACGGATCTGAATAGACCTTTTTCCAAAGGCAATAGTCGAGCAACTCATCCCCCCTGAGCCTGGTGCTGCCTTCCGGTGACCTCAGGACAGAGGACAGCAGCCCTGAAGGCTTCCAGGGCTGTAAACCTTCCCCAGAGGTGACCCAGCTTTGTCCCAAGGAGCAGGTGGTGTGCCTGAACTGCTAACCTTTTGGTTTAAAGTGCAACTGTAACACATGAAGCCACCAGCGGTCAAATGGCCAACAGACAAGTACAATGGTGCTCTAGGAGGTCAGCCGTCGCCCCGACGCCGGCCGGGGGCCTCTGAACCG